TCTTTGAAGACTAGAACTATGGATCAACGTGCAACAACCATCATCTCTCTTAAAAAGAGGAGGTTTTGCACTTTCTTCTCTTAACTCTATTTCTCATCTGGAAAATTTGAGTGTACTGGTGTTGAATCAACTATTCTAAATGGTATTACAATATACTGTTTGGTGAAAAAGTAAAATGCAAGAATATGTTGGGAAAAGAACTTAACAAGAAGGCTGCAACCACTTTAGAAGTGTAAAACTCCATCCACAGGGGAGTTGGGACACTAAAACTTCCATCAAAGCACATGAAAATGACATCAGTGGTCTGTTATCCCCTCATAAATGAACCAGACCTGGGCAAGGACGTTTGAGCAACATCAACCCTTGTCAAACCCTTAACAAAGTTTGACATCTGTTAAATCATTAAAGGGACAAATAAAATGTTAACCAAGACAGAGAAGGAAGGGAGAGTGCTGATAGCATGTATTAGGACTAAAAGTAAAAGGCCAGAAAAGACATGATTAATTTCTGGATTTGGAATATCTCTATAACTTGTTGGCTAAACCTTCCCAAGTTCCAAGTCACTGGAAACTACTCTGGCAATAAAAACACTATGGAGATCTGTAATAGATGGATTTAGGGCTTTTAACACTGATACAGCTGTTTTCACAATAAGTGGAGATCCTTTGGCTCTTCATATCCTCATCTTCCTCCAGACACCTTGTTTCAATTCCATGGAATGTAATTCTCCCTGACCTCAAAGAGACCTTTGTCCTTGAACCAGCTTTGTAAGAACAAAAACCAAACATTGGCCTATAGTACTTCATCTTAGTTTTTATACCTGATTAAACAGTGCACTCTTATTTTCTCTGTCCTTTTGAGTCTGGGGCATACCAGTCTGGTATCTCTTGTACAGAAAAGAGTGGGGTTTCCTTTCAAAACTTAGGACAGAGAAAAATCTACTGCTGTGTTGTGCAAGTTGCTTCAGTCACGTCCAACTCTTTGCAACCCCATGGACTGTAGCCCTCCAGACTCCTCTGTCCGTGGGGTTTTCCAGGAAAGAATACTGGTGCCATGAGTATTGACACCATGCCAACTGAGGTGCCATGCCCTCCTCCAGGCGATCTTCCCAACTCAGGGACTGAACTCACATCTCTTGCATCTCCTGTATTGGCAGACAGGTTCTTAACCACTAGTGCCACCGGGGAGTTCTCAAGAACTACTTGATACATCAGTTAGCATTACTTTCCATGACTAATACGTAACTTCTACAATATTGAAATTTATGAAAACAAATAAGCCTGAGACCTATATGATAGATGCACCATAAATGGATGGGGATAAATATGCATCCAAATCTAACTGGCCTGAAGGCGAACAGCAACCAACCTTCATATGTGGGTACATGAGGACGTTCTGCAGCAACAAGGAAAGGTGCACAGGAAGTCATATGCCACACCTTTGGGCTGCCAGTCCAAGTAAGGACCTTTAGAAGGAATGGCTACAGTGCATTAGCTCATTCTTACGCTGTGTGTGGGTGAAGCCGGGCACGGAAAATGCAGGAGAATGTACAGCAGGAGGAAAAGACAAGTAACCTGGACTACGCAGCCCAACCCCATGCAGGCAAGAAGGAAGAACTCTGACAGGGCCTCCAACACGTTAAGACCTTAACATGTATGCAGGCCCAATAATGGGAAGTTGGGGTAAACATAAAGATAGTATCAGTAACCAGGGCAACAGGTAAGTTTAGCAACTTAATGGCAGCAAGCATTAGCAGCAGAAGCTCCAGAAGCACCAGTTTTCCAGGGAGGAAGTGCAGGAGTGCTGCACCAGTTGGCCAGGCTGAAGCTCTGGTTGGACCACCAGCACGAAGGGTTGCTCAGAGGAGCTCCAGTGACAGGTGAGCAGAGAGGACTAAGGCAGGGGCTGGGTTACAGGTCTCATGACCCAACTGATAGAGGAAGCAAGAAAATGCCTTACTGTGAGAATTTACTATAACCTCTTCCTACCAGTATTCTTCGAGAAAATAATCTACTGGTTCTGCCTGCAGCCTTAATTCTGGAATCCATTAAAACCAACAGAAGAACTCAGATTCACATACTTTAACAGAGTACAGTAGTCTTCTCACTCCTTCTTTCCCTTCCCCTGAGAGAGTTTCAGGCAGTTGGCAAACATGGCCACAAAAACCATACCACATGAATAGTCCGGCCTCTCTAAACCCCTTCACATGGCCAGGTGGATCCCATTGCAGGCTGCAAGCCATACTCTGAACCCAATAACTGCATTATTAGGTGGGAAAAGTCCCATCACAAGAAAACATCATAAAGCTTGCTTCCTTTCTACCATATTCTGTGCATTTTCCAAGGAAAGGAGCTGTATATTTATTCTGGACCACTTGGCCTGTACTTCACAAACAACAAGGACAAGTGTGCTTCTTGGCCTCTTAATCATGGCGCCATGCCAACCTGGAACAAATTACCTGCCATTCTAAATGCAGTCAATCAATGCATAAACACAAAGATGTTTATGGCCTTTGGATGCTTACAATCATGTAGAACAGGTCACACATGCACATATACATTGCCATTCTTTTCTAAGATACAACTAATGTTGGAAAATACAAAGACTTGGATGCGCTAGATTGATATTTGACCCATTATCAACCTTCAAACTTTAGCAGAAGAAATGTGAGAGTTTAGTGGGTGCTGAGCAGGTGAAAGAGAACAAAGAAGGAAGAGGGATAAAAAGAGAGGACCTCTTGGGGGGCAACTGCCTGGATATCCTTAGGTGGTAGACCCGCAACAGAGAACCTGTCTCTGTAAAACCTAGAACCACTACTGGATTCTTCACAAGTACTCAGTTTAGAAATTCTACACAGTAAGAGGCAGAGTGAGGGAGGCAGGGGGAAAGGGAAGGGTTATCTTGTATTTAGTTCCTGCCCCAAATCCTCAATACTTTTAAGATCACTGACTTTCTATAGTGATGGAAAAACCGTAGCTCCTGTCCCCTTCAAAAAAATACTGAAGAGAGCTAACTACCTTCTCTTGGAATTCATTCGTGACTCACCTCATTACCAAGGTGACCCAGACAGTTGCCACTTCCACTGGTACCTAGGAATGGGCTACTGAACAGCATCCACCTGTGGACCTGCAGCCTCAAGGATTGACATTTCTTATACTTGCTGGGTTAAGACAAGGTCTATCTTACCAATACCTCCTTCTCTCTCCAGAAAAATAACCATTACAGGTAATCAGGGAGAGTAAAGGAGCTCAGAGACCTTGCTCATATGCCTGTACTGGCAGGTCTTCCAGTCGTAAAGCTTGGCATTCTTATTTGCTCTGAGGCCCAAAGGGAGAAGTGCCATTGAATGCTTTGTGGCTATGGAAAAGGAGAAAGGAAACTAATGGTTGTGTTATTGTTAAGGACAATAAAGACAGCAGTTATGGCCTCACACAAAAAGTTTCTTAGTGTCAGGCTCAAAACTGGGAAAGGAATACATCAAGGTTGTATACTGTCACCCTGCTTACGTAACTCATATGCAGAGCACATCATGAGAAATGCCAGGCTGGATGAAGCACAAGCTGGAATCAAGATTGCCAGAAGAAATATCAATAACCTCAGATATGCAGATGGCACCTTATGGCAGAAACTGAAGAGGAACTAAAAAGCCTCCTTTTGAAAAAGTACAGTGAAAAAGCTGGCTTAAAACTCAACAATCAAAAGATGATGGCATCTGGTCCCATCCCTTCATGGCAAATATATGGGGAAACAATAGAAACAGAGACAGACTTTATTTTGGGCTCCAAAATCACTGCAGACGGTGACTGCAGCCATGAAATTAAAAGATGCTTACTCCTTGGAAGGAAAGCTATGATAAACCTAGACAGTATATTTAAAAGCAGAGACTTCACTTTGCTGACAAAGGTCTGTCTAGTCAAAGCTATGGTTTTTCCAGTAGTCATGTACAGATCTGAGCTGGACCATAAAGAAGACTGTGCACACAAAGACTGTGTGCTTTCAAACTGTGATGCTGGAGAAGACTCTTGAGAGTCCCTTGGACAGCAAGGAGATCAAACCAGTTAATCCTAAAGGAAATCAATCCTGAATATTTATTGGAAGGACTGATACTAAAGCTCCAATACCTTGGCCACCTGATGCAAAGAGCTGACTCATTAGAAAAGACTTTCATGCTAAGAAAGATTGAAGGCAGGAGGAGAAAGGGACAATAGAGGACAAGATGGTTGGATGTTATCACTGACTCGATGGACATGAGTTTGAGCAAGCTCTGGGAGATGGTGAAGGACAGGGAAACCTGGCATGCTGCAGTCCATGGTGTCTCAGAGTCAGACAGGACTGAGCGACTGAACAACCAGAATACCCTCTCCTTGTGGCCTATGGGATAGTTTGTCTCCACTTTATAAAGAAAACTGGGTCTCAGAGAGGCCTTGCCAAGGGTTACAGCAGATCCCTAAGTGCAAAAGCCAGTAATGTACTCAGATCCCTCTGATTTCAAAGTTTCTTCCACACACTGAACTACTTCTGTGTAGAGAAGCAGCTTCAGCCTAATAAAGTAAAAACCACCCAAGAAGAGTACCTGAGTGTGTTGGAACTTGGGAGCCAGGAAGGGAAAAGGCAGCTGATCTCCCAAACGGAACAGCCGCTGCTACTAACATCATTACTATCATCATCATCACTAAAGTGATGGGAACAGTTTCTTAGTATAAAAAACTGATTAGATTTCTCCTTGTGCATTATAAGCATCTTGTTTTGCTCTTTACTCTTGCTTCTAGAAAGCTCAGAGACAAACCCAAAGTTCCTGTTTAGTAACTGTGCAGTAATCCACATGCATATCAGTATTTTCTTCTCATCTTGATCCTGGATTTTGATTTCTGTTTTACTTGGTTCTAACCTTTACTCACCACTTATATATTTATTCATAATATATATTCTCATGAAAAACCTCAAAACTTTAGTGGAATAAGGTTAAGGTATGCATGACATTAATTTAAAAAATAATTTACCTGGGTGCAGCTTTCATCTGTAGCATCACACAGATTCTTTAGTCCTTTGAATTCTATTGCTAAAATATCTGAAGCAAAAAAAATAAAAAAGAAAATCAAGACACCATCTGGAGGCTTTGGAAAGACAGAGGTAATCAGGTCTTTGATCTGCTCTGCACATGGACTGGGAGAGGGAAATAGGACCAAATCTCCCTGACACAGACAATCATTTGCTTTATTAAACAAGTGTCTTGTATTACACACAGAATAGTGCGTTATGTGGATGCACAAGAAAAAATGATGATGAAAAGTAGATACTGAGCATATTGAGTACTCTGGGTTTTGAAACATTAACATCACAGCTGTTTCTAATAATTTTTTCTCTAACTGCAAGCTTACTTCCACAACATATTCTAATGTAACTGTAACTGCCGCAAAATGTTTTTCATTTTTTCAAATGAAGTCTTGTTAGAAATAACTATGCAACTGAGAGCCCATAGTCATCTTAGCTTACTACCCCATATACAGGTTATTTTGTATTCATTTATTGGTGTGTTATGTGATTCAAGACGGGACAGTTTGAAACAATCTAACCTACTTTTAAACTAGTGAAACGTGCCTTTTTAAACAACAAAACAACAACAACAAAAGCCAAGAAAACCTCACTAATGAGAGAAGTCAAGAAAGTTCATCAGTGGAGTGCCCTGCAGTTTTAAACGTAAATGGTAACGAGCAGCTCATTCCTCAACTATCCGTATCTGGGGTACTGATGGTTTATACCATTAAAACTATGGGGTTAACCTAAACTCAGATGCAAATAATATATTAATATTCCTTTTAAGTTCTTCCTTCTATTTACCTTGTAATTCTTAACTGTCTCCCTCCATCCATGTAGCTTCTTTTTCTTCTAGATTTATAGCTTTGTAAAAAGTTTGGGGATGTCTTCAATTGCGACTCTCCCAGGAGGTTTGATCATCAGAGACCAATTTCTTCTCTGGGTTTGATTTTCCGATGAGACCCAGGGTCGCCTCCACCGTGTCCACAGCTCAGGACAACCTAGAGGGTCCCCTTTCAACCTGGGTTTTGGGTGACGCTCAGCTCCTGCTCCAGGCAGGAGTTTCTGAGTCTCTCGCTGGGGCAGCTGCCCACGGCGAGATGGTGAGGACGACCAAGAGCCTAGTACAGGGCTCCAGGAAGGCTGCTCTGCTCTAGGCAGGATTCAGGGACAATGCGGCCCGACTGCCCCCAAGGGCATCACGTGTCCTGGCCTGAAGCGTGGCGGGCTTCGCGGAACCTAAACGACCACCAGCCCCTCCTACTGGGAGGTCGCAGGCCGGGACCTGAAACCCCCTCACTTCACCACCCTCCAATCTGGGAGGGCTGTGAACTGCCACCCGGCGGGATAGTTGACAAGTCTCTCTCAGCCGGAATATATATTATCCAGCCACCACACGGTGGGCGAGCCGGCAAAGACTATTCCCCGTTGTAAAGCTCAGGAGGTTAAGGCCGGGACCCCGAAACAAATGCGTGCGGAATCACTTCAGGAGAGGAGCTCAGTCCGCCTGCCCCCGCCCCGAAAATTCGGAGCGGGCGGGCAGCAGGCCAGGGAGTCCCGGGAACCAGAGCTCTCCGCGGGGCGTGGAGGAGGGGAGGGCTTAGGTTTCCGCTCGCTTCGCTCTTCAAGCCATTTGTAAAAGGAGAGGCTGCATTGGCAGCTACAAGAGACGAACACAGCCTCCACTCCCAATTCCAGACCACCTGGCCTCGTGTTTCTCTTTTATAAATGATCTTAAAGATAAGATTCTCCCAGTGTATTTACTCCCACCAACCTGGTTTTAAAATTTCTATTATTTTTATATTGTCAAACTATAATACATTTTTTATACATAAATTATGTGTAATTCTCACCTAGTTGTGAGTTTAAAATGAGGCAGCATTTTCTTTATCTTGCTTTCTTCATTCCTTAGAACCTTAGACTGTACTGTCTCTTGTTGGAATTTTTTGGTCATCCAGTATGTTTTTAAAGGTTCACCGTGATTTGTTTTACCAGAGTTTTATCTATTTGAGAATGTCTACCTGTGGCCAGCACAGTTTAGAGACATTTCTGTGTTAGTTATAAGCTTCTAGGGCCACATTTTCTTTCCCTTAGGATTGTGCTCAGCCATGTCTGACTCTTTGGGATCCTGTGGACCGGAGAGGCTCCTCTGTCCGTGGTTTTTCCCAGGTCAGGATGCTGGAGTGGGTTGCCGTTTCCTCTTGCAGGGGGTCTTCCTGAGCCAGGGATGGAACCTGCTCCTCTTGTCTCCTACATTGGTAGGCAGGTTCTTTACCACTCGCGCCACATGGGAAGCCTTTCTTTCCTTTAGCACATTTCATTTTGCCGTGTTTTTTTCCTGCTCTAATAGCTAATCTGTGTTCTTACTGTCGTCATTTTAACTTTTTCTTTCTTCTACTGGGACTTTCTTTCTACTATTTTGTTGTTGTTTTGTTTTTTCCACCTCTTTCTTGAGTTCTTGCTTTTTTCTCTTTTTTTTTTTTTTCTTGTTTTGAGCAAGTAGAGGGAGTGGGGAGGAGGGCATGGTGTCACTGGATTTTCTTTTTTCAGTCAGCATTTTTCACTTTAGAATAGTCTCAGACTGGTGGTCTTTTTTTTTTTTTTTTTTTTATTTTTATTAGTTGGAAGCTAATTACTTTACAACTATGGCTGAGCAGAATCTCGATTTCAAGTGACTTGAGCAATCAGAGAAACTCCTCTGGGATTCAGAGAGAGTCGAGGAATTGTTATTTCTTGCTCCGTCCCCCACCACTGAGTTTGCCTCCCTAGTCCTCCTGACTTCATTCACAGACAACCCACTGGACAACGCTCAGTGATAAATTAGGGAGTCGCTTAAGCGTGGCCATGCCTTTCTACCCTACATGTCCCTTCCGCGGATGACTCTGAACTCGCAGTGGAATCCGATTCCCGCTCAGATCCCCGGAGCCGAGCCTCACTCACACCAACCAGGCGAGCCCAGCGGCTGCTGGAACAACGTGGCTGCCTCGGGTGCGCGGCTTCGAGCGCGCTGCTCCCTAAAGCCGCCGCGATGCAGATTTATGCTCCAGCCGCTTTTGAGAACCCCAACGCTTTGGCTGGGTTAATTTTTGTCAATTGTTCCTCATCACACTGAGATAGTTTGCAGCTTGAGGCGGGTTTTATTTATCACCCTGCACATTTGAAATACAGTCAGACATAAAAATAACTGACTCTGGGGCTCTGGCGCAATATTGGAGCCGTCGGGGAATAATTTGGCTAACTGACTTGGACGTTTCACCTTCTAAACAGAAATGCAACTCTCAGTCAAACTGTAAATCAAATTGTCTTCAGCCATGGAGGGCGGGGGAGGAAGCACCAAACCCAGAAGGGATTGGAAACAAAATGAAAGAAAACTCAGATATTGACCAAAGCAAAACGAGCTTCAGAAACCCAGACTGGATTTTAATTTTAGGCGTGGAACCTCGTCGAGAATGTGAATTAGTAAATGTTTTACCAGTCGGATCCGCCTTGGGGATTCTAGGGTGCCCTGGAAACTGGACTGATTTCTTTCTTTCTTTTTTTTACTGCTACTGCTGTTTTTGTTATTAAATAATATATGCTATTTGGGGGGTGGGGTTCCCTTGAAGAGTTTCAATTGTAAATGTTAAGGACAAAGATCTGGGTAGGACGGGGTAGGAACTCTGGGAACCACCTAAAACTTGGAGAAAGAGGTCAGAAATTTCCTGGCACTTTCCTGTTGCCAAATTTCTTGTGAATAGGTAGAAAAGAATCTGATAACCTTTTCGGCTCCTCCGGCATTCCTCCCCTACCCCTAACACCTGTCTGGAAGCCCCCAATAATGAAAGCTCAATTTCTTACCGCAGCACCAAGACCGAGTGGTCTAAACCATGGCCAGGACTGGCTTTCAGTAAGGCAGGAACTGGAAGGGAAAACCCACCCGAGCGACCACTCAACAATTGATCAATTAGAGGAACTCAAAACGCAACCAAATAAAACTTCTGCCAGGGTGGGGAGCATCTGCTATTATTTTTGTATTATTTCACACAGCCCGAACTCCAGCAAGTAGATTTTATTCCTGCACAGCAAAGCGGAGATCAGCCTCCCGCGTTTCTCAAGCTTCTTCAAGGGAAATCTGAAGACTGTTTTCTTGACATGAAGCCACAGCGACCTTAAATGTAGACACCTGCCCCTGTCATAGGGTATTAAACAAGTATATATTTTTTTAAACTTCTTTTTAACCAAGACCGTTCACGTAACTCGCTTCTAACATTTCTCCAAATAAACTGTAACAGGAGAGCTGTGACTCTTAAAATCCACAAATTAAAATTAAATTTCAAGATACCAAAGGGGGCTTCAGGTAGAAACTTGGCAGGATTATTTTCAAATAACTTTGAAAGTTTAAGATACTTCTATAGTTGATAGTCCTTGGTATCTCTTCTGAATATGTAATATTAAGTTGTGATTGCAATCAAAATGTGGTTTCAAAGGTGTTAAATGAAATAAAATTAAATCTAATATTTTTATGGGGGAAAAGATCAGCTAGTAGTTGGAAATTTTTCTCAAAAACAAATTTAATTTGTGTGGTTTTGACATTTGCATGATCCAGTTCTTAACCTGGTGGTTTTTATATCAACCCCAAACTGGTTTTGCTCAAGTTGACATCTCTGCTTCTTCAGATTGGGAACTCAGTAAGCTCAGCATGCTCTGCTGACAGGCAACTCCTGTGTTGTGAGTATTCCTTTGCCAATACATGGTGTGATGTCCTTTTCAGTGTAACAAGTCGGGGAAATAAAAGAAAAATTTGCCTCTCCACACATTTATTTTTATTTGTTGTTTTTTCTTTATTTCTAACACATCAAGATGAGTTCTTTCTCTTAGAATCACAAATATCTCCTAAAAACGTATATTTTAAAAAAAATCTACAGATGTAATACATACTCTGAACCCTATAAAATGCGTTTACAATGCTGACTTAAAGAAAGAAATTTATAACTTTCATATGTACCTTCCTTTTGCAATAGGCAACTGCCATATGTTTCCGACTTCCATAATTCAGTTTTTCCTGGACATCTGTAGCAGGTAGTGAGTGCTTCTTAAAGTACATTTTATGTAATTTGAGAAGGAACCCGAACCTAAGACTAAAGGTTAACATAAAAAAGCACAAGCCTTTCTAGAAATGTTAGTTATTCAAAATTTACATCACCTATTGTGCACGGCCTGAGTTACTTTTTTTTTCCCTCTTCTTCCTTCTTGAGACTGAATTTGGAAATGCAGTATTGTGTATGCTGAGAATTCGTTCCATGGAGCATATTCAAAATGTCTAAATGCTTTGGTAAATTTCCTCTTGTTTTTACTGTTCTTTAGCCTTTTGCTTGAAGATTCTCATTCAGTTCTTTCTGAAAACCCAGGTTGGAAGTGTTTTGCAGTATGATTATTTTGAGACACATTTTAATATTTTTATATCAAAAGAGGGAAATCATAAGCTCTTTCATTTTTCCTCTGTCTTAGCTGTTCATCTTATACTTGTTCAAGGATGGAAGAGTTTACATGATTAAAAGTGAAAACAAACCCAAAAGTAATGTAGAAAAGCCAAAGCTTGTTTTCAGATTTTTTTGACTGTGTGTTCAAATTCAGAGTTCATTATTAATGCTAATGCTATATTTCAATAGCTCACTTCTTTTTGTGAATTTCCAGTGCTAGACTTAATCTGTCAAAATCCCCTTCATTCAGCTGAAACTGAAATGTTTCATCTTTCAGTACAAAAATATGAATAAATTCTAGCCACATTCTTTATTCATACTTTCAGCAGATTATATAAATGCACACAAAATATTCACTGTTTAATAATTGTGGATATCTACAGATGTGAAGTAGAAGAACAGGGTCCAATTTATAGCCAATTAGATGGTGTAATAATTTGTATAAAAAGCTAAAAACCTTACCTAATGATTCTTACATGGAAGCTAAACAGGGACTCAGTTTTCTTTTCAATTCATTTTATTAAACCAGCAGATTCAAGATAATCCTCATTCATGGGGGAAAATAGCATTAAATATTTAGTTCTAAGAATATGAAGCTGCATATTTAAAATATCAATTTAAACATGATTTTATGAAGTATAAACTATTAAAATGCCCATCAACTATTTAGAGAATATTGTTTGATTTCCCCATTCTTTGTCCCAATTTGGTTTATGTCCAAATTGACCTGTTGCAATATTGCTATCAGCAATGTCCAACTACCCACCTTTGGGTATTCATTTACATCTAGGTGTTAATTTCATTACCGCCTTCAAATCGGCTAATACCTGATTAGTGATAGAGACAAACTTTGCTTCTTGGACTTTTCTGTTACTAACCCCTTACTGTAGTAGGGTCATCAGAGTGTGGGTCAATGAATGAGGAAGTGAAGGGGGTGGTTTTTCATGCACAGGGTGAAAAATAATTCCAGCATCGGTTGGAAACACAGCCTATAACTGCTGGAAATTGGACATGAGTGGGGAAGCTCATTCCCCCCAGCAGAGTGAGTTTCCCTCCTGATTCATTACAGGTTCTTTCCCTCCTCA